GGTCGATCCTGACAATTTTTAGCATGATTGTAAAGAGACTTATAGGATAAACAAAAAACCTATTGACTTAGCGTTAAAAATAATTTTTCAGACCTTTCAAAAAATCCCTCACTACTCTTGTACAAAAATAGATACAAAATTATCGTCCTAACTCGTTGGAAATACCTTCTAATAGGTCAAAAGTGAAGAACACAAAAAATCAATGATGTAGAAAAACAAAGTTTTGGAATCATCTTAAGTTAAATTTGAAGCACATAAATCAACGACTATAAAAATTGTTGAAAGTGTTTGTGATGGCTAAAAACTTTGATCTTCGATCTTTGATCTCGAGTAATACTATTATAATGAACCTTTGCGTGGCATAAAAAAATCGGATCCATTCTCTACTTAATAATTAATATTGATGGAGTGGCAAAAACATTCACAGTGGAGGTATTATCAAAAGTAATCCTTGTAGTGTAAACATCATTCATCAAATCCAAGTACAAATGCTTTCTTTTCTAATTCCATCAAAGCTGCCTTTCATCAAAGAGCATTAGATTCGATTCATCTTCTTCAAGTATTTTCTCACATGTGAGTATTCTTGATCTGCAACACTAATTAAAAAAAACAAAGATGTATCTCCAACTTAACTTCATAAGTCACTTTATCAATGAAAAAATAAATATAAAATTATTATTGGATTAAGTTATTGCAACGAATTGTTCCGTCATCACTAAATCAAGTTACTATCGGATAATTCTGATTAGCACAAAACACAGATTTTTTCCTAATATACTGGCCAATTCCACTAACTTGATTTAGTTACACGAGAAATTTTGTTAAAGAAAACCTAGACATTATATTTCAGAGATATTCGAAACTTGTTTTTCTTCAACAAGAATTGAAAATGATGCTAATAATAATAGGAAGAACTCCTATCTAGTGGTAGATTCAGTATCCCGATATCTTCGCTACAGCTCTGAGTAGCTGTTACTCTGGACAGGAGGCGCAAGGTTTTTGCACTCAATTGCTTCTACTCCCTATACACATATATTATTCACAGAAGTATATGTATGTCATAACTTAGTCACCATACTATCGAACGAATCATTTGAAACAAAAAACCTTTAATGACTGGTCCATGATCATTCCATGGCTGGTAGTGCTTGAGTTTTGCACGCAGCATCTTTTAGATACGTGTCGCCACCCAGTCATGATGGCTGATAATAATCTCATTATACCATTTGAGATTATGGAACTGCGGGTCCACACTTTTATGAACCCGAACTCACTGCTTCCTATTCGAGATTCTTTAAAAATGCGCACCTTTCTTGTTTTAATAAAACAAAAACTTGTTTTTGATGTCCTGCATCATTTTAAGAATTTAGAAGAAAATTATATTTTATTGCTTCGCTTTTTTTTTTTATAAATTACATTTATTTATTCAATAATTTAGTTCTTACCTTATCAGCACCTGGACTAATCGGTACTGATTTTTTAGCTAAATATTGCATAAGAATATCTCTTCGAATTTTTTTTCGTCTTAATAATTGCATTGCTGATTGTGAACATTTTAAACAAGCATCAATAGCTTCAGCACTCTAAAATTTAATGAAAATAAATAAACAAAGAAATTAAAATATTTTTTTCTCACACTTACAGAACATGTTGATATCATTGATTTAGTTACAGTATCTTTAACTGACATTAATTCAGCATCAGATAACATTGAAAGAAGTTCTTGAGCTCCTATTTGTTCACACTTATTCATATCTACAAAAAAAACCTAAGAATTTCTCTAAATAAATTTTTATATGACAAAAGTATTCTTTAATTTCTTAAGTTCTTCTGAAAAGTTGTCAAACAAAATTAATCAAGATCAATTAAAAGAATTTATTCATTCTTTGGTTTTTTTGTTTTTCTTTTCATAAGCAAACATCCGCAGAGAAAAAGAAGAATATATGTATATGTATATATATATATAAAACATAAAATTCACAAAGAAGAACAACAATGATAAGTTTCATTTGTTTTCAATATAACAAAAAAAGAAAAATCATAATTTCAAGATGAGAATAAATCAAGATGGAAAAAAAAAACGTTTTTATTATTGCTTTTAAATATTCTCGTCGGTTTATTTTGAATAATATACACGATAATAAAGTGTTTTTGAACGCCATAATGAATAACTATTGTCAAATTTAAGTAAATAAACACCATGTCCAGGATATGAATGACTACCAGCATAAACTTCTTCATGACAATCACGTCGATAGATAGGAACAATTTCGTTTTGTCGTGGTTTTGGTGGTTTATTTGTACTACCACTACCTTTTTCAATATCTTTCTTTTCGGCTAAAATAAAAATTCAAAATATTCTATATTTATTTTCATATATATATATATACATACCGTCTTCATTTTCTTCATCTTCATCACTTGAATCACTTACATGAACCGTAACAGTATTGGATTCTGCTTTAGTCCATTCAAAATAAACACCAAAACCAAGATCATAATAATCCGTAGCAAATTCCCAAAATATACATTGACCATCTTCATGTGTTGGAACTCGAACCTAAATAATAGTTGATGAATGATAAAAGAAACATTGTTATTTTTTTTTTTTTTTTTTTTTTGTTTGATATTCTATGAAAAATGACAAGAAATATAATATATGTCAGATTACAAAAGAAAGAAAATATGATGACATCTTATTTTTCTCTTAATTCTAATTCAAGAAATATATAGATATCAAATTTAATATACTTTAAGCAAAAAAAGAAAACAAATACCTACCGTAACTGTTTCACCACTACCAATTTTAATAACAGCATCTTTTTCTTTACGTATTTGATCTTTAAATTCTTTAATATCTTTACGTGTCCACATATTTGCCGGTGCAATAATTGGTAGTTCTATATTATGTAATAAATCTTATTTAAAAAAAAAAAGATTTATTACTCATAATCTAAAATACATACCTGGTTTATCTTGTTCAGAAACAAGTGATGATTCATTATTTGAATTTATTGTTGCATTTGAATCAATTGTTGATGATGATATAATTACATTTTCATCGTTTAATTCTTGTGAAGTATTTAATTGATTATTATTTTCTACTGATGATAATTGTTGTTGTTGTTGTTCTGTTAAATCATTATTACTAATAGATAATTGTGGAATAACAGATGGAATTGATTCTAATGGTATATCAAGATGAAATGTTTCAAATTGTGTTTGAATAGGTATGTTTGGTTCGGTTTTTATATCTTGTACTAAAGTATTTACAACCGATTGAGGTGGAGGGTGAATTAATGGCGGAAGTTGGGTTGGTGCAGGACCAAGTGGTGGAATTTCAGGAATAGATTGTAAAGGTATAGTTTGACTAAATGAAACTGTTGATTGATCTATATTTGTTGGTATTGATGGTGGAATTTCATTTGTTGGTGATGATGTTGTTACTATATTGGGTGAGACTACATTATTTGTTGGTAATATGTTTGGTGGTGTTGATATAACATTCTCTAATTGTTGTTCCATATTTGGTTTCTGTTAAAAAAAAAAGTCAAACTTCTGTTTTTTTTATTTTTAGATTTTGATTAGAAATTTTACAGTTCGCAGTTGTTGATCAATTAATTGTTGTTGATAAATTTGTTGCATATATTTTTGAAAATGTTGTTCTTGTAATTGACGTATTAATTCTTCTTGCTAAAAGACAACAAAATCTATAAATAATTTCTGGTTTTTTTTTTGATATATGCATACTGCTAATCGATTATCTCTATATTGTTGTTCAGCGTAAGCTTTAAATTGTAAATATGTTTGTTGATTAAGTACTACTTGGATTTGTTTTCTATTGTTAGTTTATAATGTTAACAAAAAAAAACAGATTATTCATTTATATAGCATTACCGTTGAAGATCTTCTCGTTTTTTCTTTTGTTTTTCTAAACGTAATACTTGTTCTAATTCGTATTGTCTTACTCGTTCAGCTTCCTGTTCTAATCTACGATAAGTTTCATAGTCATTTCTACAAAAAAAAATAAATTTTGTATATAAAAGAGAAAAAAAGATAATTATTTGAAATATACGATCAAAGAATATGTTAACAGATTATTTTTAGCTTGTTAGAAATATTCAATTAGGAAGAAAGAAAGCAACAAAAAAAACCTAGATGTGTCTATAACGTAAAATATAAACTACCCTTAGCTCATAATTTTGACGAATAGAAAAAGTAAATTACTCAACTTGCCTTCTCCGTTTGCACGAGCAACTACTAATACTACAGAGATAAGAAAAAAGAAAAAGATGGAAACGGGAGAAAAAAAAGAGAAGAATAGCTCAGCGAATCTTCATTTTTTTCCTGTCACTGGTTTGTCTCTTCCAGTAGATCAAATCTGAGAGCAAATATGATATGAGATTCTCGCTTAAGCATTCTGTACTTTTTTTCTTCTTTTTTTTCTCTTCCGTTTATGCTCATTGGTAAAGAATAAAAAAAGTCGAGAAAAACGTCCGTTTATGACAAGAGTAGAAACATCAACCGTCAGATAAAAAACAAAACATGGAAATAAAAAAATCAGGAAAAGTAAGAGATAAAGTAAAACTGTTCTCGAATAAAATTTACTGTAATGAAGATGCGCAAAAAAGAACCCATAAAAAAGAGGAAAACGTGTAGAAAAGTATGTCAAATAAGATAATTATTATAAGTTACGAGATTTAGAAAAGACGGAAAAAATAAAAATAATTTTTAAGAAACATAACGAAGAGACATCAGCATATGAGAGAATTTTTTTTTTTAAATAAAAATTCTTTTTCATCAGAAGAAAAAAAAAAGAAGTCTTATGTCATAAACATACATTTCCTTCTTACGTTAATTGATCTTTGTCTTGATTTTTCATATGTTGTGTTTCTAAATAAGTTCGAAACATAGAACAACGATCTAATAATAATTTAACATATTCTTCCATAGCTTGTTCTTTTGACATATCTCCTAATGCAATCCATGCTTGTCTATAATGCAAAAACAAAAAAGGAAAACTTTGATAAAGAATACAAAAATAAAATTTCTTTACTTTCGATCATTACCAACAACATCAAGAAATCCAACATCTTGTGTATATGTTGAATTCCATTTACCTATTTTTGCTTGTTTTGATAAAGCAATTAAACGAATATTATCACCATATTTTAATTGAATTTCTTTATTTTCTAAATGAATCATGTATATATTATGGAAACAAATATGTTCATTTATGTCAAACTATACCTTTTAGAAATTTTCGAGCTAAATAAAATAATTCTTCAATAGTTGATGTAAATTGATTTGAAAGATTTAATAATTGTTTTTTATCTATTTCATTAGTACTATTTAATTTTGCAGGAGGAGGAGGTGGTGTAACATTTATTTGACCAAAACAATTGCCAGCAAGAATTTCATCATAGTATAATGCCATAAATATATTAAGAAATTTGACCGACCGACGATCTACGACAACATATGCAAGAATATCTGATGGACAAATAAAATAACCAATAAAAAAGAAAGGTGAATGTGAGAGGTTAACATTTAATTGTCATGTCGAATAATCATATATGATTGGTCATTATACACTTATAATAGAAAATAATATATATTGTCCAAAAAAAATATTAATAATCAAGAATATAATTACAAAATTTGAAATTAGAACGGCATGTAAAGATTATTTAAGTGCTGTAATATATACACATGAATAATATATCAAATTAGCTCCTCGATAAATATTAAAATATAACGTTGAGTTTTTTTTTTTTGAATAAAAGAAAGATCTAAGTATAAACAAACGACAATTTATTTAGTTACTGAAAAAAAATGCAATTATGCGCTGCTTTTTGAATTAAATAAAAATCAATTGTTCATGTATTTTTTGTAATTCATCAATTATTGTTTAAAAAAAGATTTACACTAAGCAAAAATATTTTCAAATAACAAAAATACGTTAAATGCAATGCTGCGTTTGCTTCATATTACGTTCATCAATATTGAACAAAAACAAATATCATTCGCTTTAATAAACTGCAAAAATATTTTTGAATATACGAATTGTTTTTATCAATGCATAGATGAAATATAAGCTTGTAATTACAACAAACATTATCTCTAATAGATAATCAATTGAAATTGTATAACTTTTATTACTTTTGTAAACACGTGTAATCTTTCTCTATAATTCAAGTATAAAGTTTGTGGATGTGACAAAAAAACCTAATGTTCAACAAATTTGTTGAAATATTTTGATAATTATGCAATTAGTATGAACTACTGGTAAGATTAGTTTTCATCTCGACAATATCCTTCCCAAGGTAATCATTCCGACCGTCGGAAATAACTTATTATTGCGTTAGTTTTCATCATAATCTGTCAGCCCGTTTTTTTCTGCTAGAAAGCAGCTATCATTTCTTCTACTGTTCTTTCCATGTTATGAATTTACAGAAAACGGCGACGTAAACATGTCGTTTGATTGTATGTGGGTTGTTCTTACAAAATTTATATTATACAAGAATTGCTTGTCTTTATTATAATAAAATTTAAATTCAACACTATTATTTATGTCTGTTTCATTCTAACAGAGCGAAAAACAAAACAGCAGGCTTGACTGTTTTTGAATGTTGTATTAAATTCTCGACTGATTTTTTTTGCTTATGAGAAAAAAACACCTACTGTTTTTAGAATAATTAGAAAAATGCTGAAATTGTCATAACAGATAAAAAACCTTGAAACTTTTCATGGATGCACTAAGCATGAAGAATTATGTCTCGAATGCATTATTGCAATTTCTTTTCCGATGATTCTTTTTTCAATAAGAAGTTTATTAATAAAGAATGACTGCAGAGTAAATCCATATTATTAATTTATGGAGAATTTAATGATCATTAAAAAAAAGCAATTAATAAATGCTTTCGTAATCTTAAAAGATCTTCTGCTCTTATCTTTAAATAAACATCTCATACAGTAAATTAAAAATATCAACACTTTTATTCATTGAATTTCTGTTCTCAAAAAAAAAAACGACGAGAATATACTTCAAAATAAATTTTCTGAATTATTACATATTATGAAACGTTTAGATAATTGCATACTTCTCCATTTTCAGAAATAGGTATCGTATATACGTTTCTGAAAATAAAAAAGAATAATCCTTGTAATTACAGCAGTGTGGATTTAAAAATTTAAACAGATTGAATTTATTTCCATACAATACAAAGAAGTTTAATTGATTGAGGAAAACCAAGAAAGAAGTTTGAATCTGACACGATTAGTGTTACAATTCTCAGTAATACAGATGTGTCTCCTATTCCTGAAAATTGAAACCTGTCTTACATAGAATGTTTCTAGAAACGATGATTATATAGATTTTAATGTATTACAAAAACATAGTAAAAATTATTTAGAAATGTAGAAAACATATTTTGAAGTGTATTTTCATTCCTAAGAACGAAAAACTTACGGCATGGTTCTTTTACTAGAAATAGAATGAGGAAACTAACACGAATACGATAAATCTCGTGTATCTTATGGAGAAGTGTTTTTTGTAAAAAGTTAGAAAATTATTTTGGCGGTTTTTCTGTGAGTATTGTTTGGTATGAAGTAGTATCTATCTACGTTGTTTCGCGCTTTGCTTAAATAAATTTTTTCATGTTAGAAACGCCTCTGACATAGTGTGTTCGATCGAGCTGAAACTTTTCTTCACATATACTATACGTTGTTTGGGATGGATATTTTGTTTTTTTTTTCGTTTTAAAAAATATTGTATTGCTGATTTTTGATAGTTGTTACAAAAATAAACATGCGTTTTAAGGGTATCTTCGTTGTTTTTGAAGGACAAAAAATAAAAAAAAAATACTCACACCAAACGGTGTGTAGTAGAGCCCGTCGGATTGGTTCCAGATCCGAAAATTTTGGACTTGATGGGTTCTAGTGTCTGTAAAAAAATTTTCAGCTCGATCAAACATAGCATCTCGGAGAAACAAGGAGTCTATTGTGATCCAAATGTCTCATAGAAGTCTATCAAAATCTGTAGGGATTCAAATTTTTACCTCTATACTTCAACACTTCTTTTAGATCATGTTTTACAAAAAAAGTGCGCTATATTATTAGTAATTCATTCAAATATAGTGACAATGTATCAAATGAAATATATGTAAAAATTAATTTGAACAAAAAACAACGTGAGTATATTTTTTCCGGTAAATGGCGTTCATATGATATTTCGATCATGAGATGTTGTTACTTATATTGATCATATTTGAATTGATTATCATTAATTTTTACATCATGACTATGGATTATTTTAATGATTACTATGCTTCTGTCGTTGATCTATTACTGATATAGTTTTAGAATTAAATATAATAAACTTCTATGGTTTTATTTATTGTAAAGTAAAAAATTAATTAAGTAAAAATCTTTATTATTTATTTAGTTTAGTTCTAATAAAAAATTCGGATTTCTACATAATCAACTATACTCAAACAAAATTTGAACTTGAAATTTTTTTTTTTTGTAATATTTTGTTTTTTTTATTTAATTCATACAAGGATTTTATTGATTTATTATCTATATAGTTTAATAATATGTTATGCTTAATGATTTTATCCTTGATAAGTATTAAAATATATCATATGAAATAATCTGTTCAAAAAACCGTGACTTACTCCATATGTCCTTCACGCAATAGCTAGAAACACTCTTTTTTTTTTTGGTAATTCTCTTATCGACCTTTGATAGAAACCTCGAACAAGTATAATAACTTTTTTGTTTTGTTTATTACTATCTATAATACAATGTAATAAGTTAAAAGAATTATCGACCTTGGTTTGGTTGAATTATTATCATTATTGGATATAAATTGATGTCGATCTTGTTGTCTTTCGTCATCATTAGAAGGTTTTTGATAGAAAGTATACTATACATATAATGAATTATATTAGTTTTATTCTATTTGTTGCTCTATTTTTTTATTTTATTAAACAAACTTATGGTCATGGTTATTTAGCTGATCCACCAGCACGTAGTTCAGCTTGGTTATTTGATAAAGATTTTAAAACATGTTGTACATATTATAATCATATGCAAATGTTTTGTGGAGGAACTTCTCATCAGTGGACTAGAAATGGTTTTTAAAATTATATATATATATATATATATATATTTTCAATAGATATCTATATTTAGGAGGTAAATGTTCAATTTGTGGTGAAGCTTATGATCTTGAACGTAAATTATTTGATGTTGGTGGTGAAATGTATTTAGGTAAAATTGTTCGAACATATATTCAAGGTTCTATAATACCTGTTACAGTTGTTGTAAGTTTTTTGTGTGTTCGTTTTTTCTTTATTTATATTACAAGATCATTTATTTAATCTTTTAGTTAACAGCAAATCATTTAGGTATATTTGAATTTCGTATATGTAATATTGATAATAATCCAAATCAAGATGCAACACAAAGTTGTCTTGATTTTAATATATTAAAAACAGTAAATGGATCAACACAATATCGTATTACATCAAATCTTACAACTGTACATCTTCATTTAAAATTACCAGATCAACTTATATGTAAACATTGTGTATTTCAATGGAAATATCGTACAGGTAATAGTTGGGGAATATCAAATGGTCGAGCTTGTCTTGGTTGTGGAAAAGAAAATGAAGAATTTTATGGTTGTTCTGATATAGCAATTAATAGTCAAGTTGAATCTATTGTTAATTCACCGCCATCACCAACAATAGTAGAAACGACTATTGCTACTACTACAAAAGAAACAATAAGACAATTAATAAAATCTCAAAATTGTAGATCAATAATTACGTTTAGTCAATCATTTGATATTAGTAGGATTATGGAAAAATATTGTCAAAGAGTTTGTTCAAATAATTGTGCTTCGGATAAAGTAGTTGGTAATGAAATACTTTATAATGGTTGTCTAGATTCATGTAATAAATTATGTGCATGTCAATAAATGATTTATCTCGATTTAAAATAGAACAAACTTGAATATTTTTGAAGCAAAAATAATATTTTTATTAACTAATACAAAATACATTCCGTGTGTCGAGATAATTGACTTTTAGCTGTATAATCGTACAGTTTGTTTTTTGTTTTTAGATTTATTTAATATTTTAAATAAAATAAAGCTTTTGTCATCTGTATTCCTCATACATACTATCTGTTTTGAAACATAAATGTCGGAGATTGATTTTAATATTGAAATGAATTTCCTTACCCAATACAATCCAAAACTGTAAATTCTGAGGGATTAAAATGTGAAACATGATGTAACTGCTGTTGTTAAACGATAAAGAATTATTTTATATATTATAACGAGGCATCACTCATATAAAGACTATGATCGTATGTCACGGTCTGTGACGTTTTTTGTGATTGCATCTGTCACGGTTTGTGAGAAGGAGTATATATATTTACACCTTTACTTCAACGTTCGTCTACCGTGAAAATGGCCATGCTAAAAAAAACACACACCAACTTACATCCAACATCTATTCAAACCGAAAAGAGATTATCATAAAAGACTTTGTACGGTAAAATGCAATTATTCATAATCATCATATTAAACAATCGAATAAAGTGCCATACATTCTACATCTACAATTCTTACCCACGACAATCAACTTGATCTGTACCTCTTTACAAAATTCATCTTTATCCGCTGTTGTATGATTATCAGTTCTATCCTTACATCATCAAGGAAGTAATATTAAATATGTCAGTTACAGACAACATAAACCAATTAAAATTTATACAAATATTCGACTATTGTCTGTTTAAAAATAAAATGGTCTCAGCCATTTTTCGAATAGCTTGAGAACGGAAGTAACTAGCGAGCTGCGATTTCCACCAATTGACAAAGACGACACTAGAATATCTTTTTCTCCAATACTGTATAAGACAGAATCATTTGAAAATCAAACATTTTTACAAAACATTAAAAAAATGCACAAAAATTATCTGTCGTTCATAAGAAATTTTGACAAAAAGTAAAAAAATTTGCTTAAAAATTAAGAGAAATTCATACTTTTCAAGGGAGTAAATAAAGAATTTGATTTGTTTAATATTGTAATGCGTGAAGATGATTATTCCGATTATATCTTAAACTATAGATTGAAGGTCTCTCTATCCAAATCACAATATCAAAACCAAAATTCATCGGAGCAGAAGATCGTTTCCATGGATTTTTTGCAATGTTTTGCAGAAATGATCGATTTTAAAATGATTTCGTCTTACACAATATTGGAAAAAAGAATGCCCTACTTTCGACTGGTGGAAACTGCAGCTCACTAGCTGCTTCCGTTCTCAAGTTATTCGAAAAATGGCGGAGACCATTTTATTTTTAAGCAGACAATAGTACCATATAGAAACATACGCAAGTAAAATCACTGAATAGATGACTTACAATTTAATCTGACAGTCATTAATTATCTACAGGATCAGAAATTTGATAACTCTATTAACATAAATCCGATATAAAATCAAGCTATGAAAATATTCGTAATCGAAGAATTATTTAAAAAAAAAATCTAAATCTTTCTTATTCTTCAATTCATCTAAAAATATGACAATTTATTAAAAGTTATATCTTTTTATTTCTATTGAAATACCAAAATAGATGTCGTTATATATTAGTTCTTCAATTAAAAAAGATAAATTCATAAAACCCTTGATATCGATGAAAATAAATAATTAGTTATATTTATCTGGAATTTTTTTTTCTTATTTTCGATTTTATAATTATACATAAAAACTTTATTATTTATTTGTTTTCTCTATAAGTACATTGGATGTACTTCGATATTTAGAGCAGCTGATATAAAATATGTTTATACATTGGTAGTTTATTCTTGAATAAAATACAACGAACAATCATATTTTAGCTTATTGGTTTAACTAATATTATATACATACGTATATTTTATTTACATCGTCATGAAAGATATTAAAGAAAAATACTTTAATTTATTTAATTATTAAATTAAAATGAAATTTTCGTTTGTTTTTTTGATATTACAATTCTTAATTTACGAATTTATTCATGTTCAAATTATTTATGAAAGAAAAAACTTTAATTTAGTTCGCAAAAAAACAAAATTATTTTGTGATTCTATATTTTTATAATGAAAATATTTATCGAATAATTTTCCTATTTTGTTAACCAGAGAGAAAAAAACAACAAATGACAATAACAACAACATATATATAAATCAATTAAACAATTTATTCAAGCATGAAAAATGTTAGAGTAAGACAATTTTCTCAAGTTTATTTTTAACAATATTATTCTCTTGATAAAAAATAAAAATTTTGCTTGACAGATTATCTGAAATCATGATGATCATTCATTATCATTGAATATCAATAGTATTAACATTATCTTCATATTAAAAACAAAATCAAAATAAAATTTCAAAGATTCAACTTCAACTATTATTCAATAAAATGATAAATTCATTTTTCAAATGTACATTTATTAATAGAAAGAAGTAGAAGTAGAACCCGTGGGATTTGTTCTGAATACCGATCCAATGGGTTCTAAGTAAAGGTGTTATATACATGAGATTTGTTTTCTTTGACTGAATAAATATCTTTTATGAAAAAAGAACTAAAAGAATAGTTGAAGTATAAAATGAGATTTTTCGATTTAAGATCATGATGGATAGCTTAATAGTGAAAATGAAATTTATGAGATACTAAAAAAAAAACTTGTAAAACGACAAACAAAATTTTAGGATACTATTGATTGAATTTGAAAATAAATTCTTTGATGTTTCGATATCGAACAATAGCTTCTTAAAAAATTTATTTTTGATTTTTATCGACTGAAAATTTAGTCAATTGATAACGTAGATGTCAAGAAAAAAACCACTGAAAGCAAAGAGAAGAATGGTCACAATAGATTAGGCACGCATCTCTTTTGGCATATAGGAATGATAAATAGATAGTTGAAGAAAAGAAAGTTATTTTCAAGTTTCTACTAGTTGTTTATTATTCGCATATGTCAGAGGGAGTGCATGTCTCACCTATTGTGAACATTCTCTTCTCTTTGTCTTCAGCATTTTTTCTCTACATGTATATACTTAAAGGACTAAATTTTCAGTCGATAAAAATCAAAAATAAATTTCTTAAGAAGCTATCGTTTGACCGTGAAATGTTGAAGAGTTTATTTTCGAATTCAATCCATCGATATGACCTTTCTCACCTCTATCTTTCTATTACTAATAGAAGTTATTTCACATTTTAATCCAACAGGAATTGTATTAATAACTTTTTTTCCTTCAAAAATCATCTTTTATCGGATTCAATTCATCTAGTAGAAATAAATCTCGTTTAAAAAATAAAAACCTAAAGCTCAACTTTAATTCAGCATTTAGGGCCAGTTTAGATAATATCAAGCATTTCTTGAGATTAAAGTCCGAGTATTTTTCAACATCGTTGACTTTTTGTATCCCTTCACATTTTACATCATTTATTTTATTGTGCGGAACTAAGTTTCCTTTTTTTTTATTCCGGTCAATTTGATATAATTTCGATAGCTTCTTTTCGAGACTAAAATTGGTTCTAGTATAGACCAAACAAAGCCTTCGGTGTATGCCTAATTGTTTATAGAGAGACTTGGTTAAAAAACTAATTCTCTTTACCTTGAATGATTATCTTAGCATGCGATGTATTTATCTTTTAGAATGAATAAAATGTTTGTATTATAACTATTAAATAAAATTAATATTAACAAAATTATAAATAATAATTTATCAGAGTAAAACTGAATATATTGTTACTGTTGTTTTTTCTTTCAGATATTTTTTTTTTGTTTTTTTTTGTGGTAATAGAAGGTGTGGAGGAGTTAAGAATTCTTTAGTTAGAGTATATGGCATCATCAATAGCCGCCGTTCCATCTTCTTCCTCAATTGAAAACGTAGAATCTCATCGTCATGAAAAATCTTCATCGGAACAATTTCGAAAATTATTTATTGGTGGTTTAACTTATTCAACTACAGATGAAAAATTAAAGTAATACGAAATATCACATTCTTTTGTATGAATCTTCCTTTTTTTCTTTGTTTAGAGAATATTGCTCAAAATATGGTGACATAACTGAATGTGTTATTATGCGTGATAGAGAAGGTCGATCACGTGGCTTTGCTTTTGTAAGTTTTAAAGATCGTTCAATGATTGATTATTTTATGGAACATCGACCACATACACTTGATGGTAGAAAAATTGAAACAAAACGTGCAATGCCACGTGATGAAGCATCAAAACCTGAAGGACAATTAACAGTTAGAAAAATATTTATTGGAGGTATTAAAGAAGATATTACTGAAGATGATCTTATGTATGTCATGGCAATTTAATTTTCTATAAATTATGAAAAGAAATATTTTTGTTTTTTTGTTTCTTATAGATCACATTTTCAAAAATTTGGAAATATTATTGAATGTAATATTATGAAAGATAAAGAAGGTTAGTTTATTAAAAAAAAAACACAAATTAATAACTTCAGTAGAGTCTGTATTTTTTTTTTGTTGATGAGACTTACTGAAAACAATATTTATGAAATTCTCATTCATTAAAAAGAAATAGAACATTATCGTCTATTGAAAATAATCCCAATCATTAGGACAAAAATAATTTCGTTATTACAATATTTTCCATTTTGATTATTCTTTATGAATATTGAGCTGATGATGATAATACAATGGACATATAGGATTGTATTTAGCGTTAGAAGGAAAATGACGAACGCAAACTTATTGGATACAAATATGTTTTTCAGAAGGAAATAAACAATGCGTAAATGATAATACCAACATATGTAAATCGATAGACGACGGGTTGATGCTTGACTCTTTTTTCTTAATCGTTCCTCTATAGGCTTTTTTGTCGTATCCTGATTGAGAAAAATTTTCTCTTCGATCGGTGTATTCCTTATTTTCTATTGTTATTTTAGTAAAAATTTATCATTAATATATTTGTATTTTATTAGATAAATTACGTGGTTTTGCATTTATAACATTTGATGATTATGATGGTGTCGATCGTTGTATTCTTGAAAAACCTCATATTATCAAAGACAAAGAACTTGATATACGAAAAGCAATTCCACGTGAACACATACCACGTGCTTATACGTCAATCCCTAATAATAATATTATTAATTCTGAGTTTTATTATCAACCACATTTAATGATTAATAATCCAACATTATCTCCTTTATCATATACTTATATTCATCCATCAAATTATTTATCTAAACCAATACCATTAATGAATACAACGAATTCTTGTTCACAACCAAATACTTTACCTCCGACAACATTTTTTTTGCCATCAGAATTATCAACTAATACATATTTTTCTTCACCATCATTACGAACAAATAATAATAATAATAATAATATTCAATATCAAACTTCTAATCGAAAAAAACTAACAAATGAACAAATATCTCAATCACGGTAAAACAAAAAAAGAGCTAATTGTTAGAGCAAGTTCTATGAGATTAAAATATGAAACACGATGTAGATCCGCCAGAAATACAATAAGGAAGTAGTTCGCACATAAGAATAGGATGTTATTGATATATGGCCTTTGATCGTATATCAACAATATCTGTAACGGAGAGGCAGGGAGCATCACTTAGGTGTTTGCAATGGTCTCTGACTAATGTCTGTGAGGGTCGGCCGCCATGGCTGAATGGCTATGTTTTTCGGCACGTATCTCTCAGGTAGTGTGTTCCAACGTTGGTATTACCAGTCAAGAAATGATACTGGACAAGTCGCCGACGACTGTTTATCTCGGATCGTCCGTCAATAGCGTGCTGGCTACGTTGTGACATACACTTGCTCTTGTCACTAATATACAGCCAATTAGTGTGTACAGGAATTCAAGCAATTGAGCGCAGGAACTCTGCGTCAGGCTAGCCTTCTGTTCAGAGCTACATCTAGTATTATTTCTAGGGAATGTATTGGGCTACAGAATATGCCACTAGGCAGTCGAAAAGCAGAGATATTCTTTCTGTGATAGTTTCTAACTAGCATCTGTAATGATCTTTGGCTACCATCTGTGAGCCAAAATTTTCATCCCTATTATGCTTCAAAACTTCTTTGAAATTATATTTCACAAAATAAATTCTTTATTTTAGTTCAATAAATGATGAACAACATCGGAAATTATTTATTGGTGGTTTATCTTTTAAGTAAATATAAATAAAAATATGAAAAAAATTTTACTTGAAATGCTTTTTTTCTCTGTTGTTTTTAGAACAACTGATGAAACATTAAGAGATTATGCAAGAAAATTTGGTGAAATAAGTGATTGTTTAGTTATGAAAGATCAAAATGGTCAATCAAAATGTTTTGGTTTTATAACATTTATTGATACAAATATAGTTGATGAATTTATGAAACAACGACCACATATACTTGATGGTCGTCAAATAGATCCAAAACGAGCAAGTAAGAATTTATTTCGATTTTATTTTTCAATTATTTATTTGGAGTGTCTTTATTTTTTGTTTTTAGTGCCACGTGAAGAAGCAAATAATGATGATATTCATTTAACTGTTAAAAAAATTTTTATTGGAGGTATTCGTGATGGACTCGATGAAAATACATTAAGAAAATATTTTGAAAAATATGGAAATATCAATGATTGTCTTGTTATGCATGATAAAGATGGAAAAACACGTGGATTTGCATTTATTGAATTCGATGGTAAATAAATCTACTCTAAGAAGATATTTTTCATATAAATTCATTGGATGATATCTTAATTTATTTATTCTTTTTTTTTTTATATTAGATTATGATCCTGTTGATAAAATAATTCTTGCACGACCTCATATAATAGGTGACTATCGTGTTGATGTTAAAAAAGCTATACCAAAAGATCAACGACATTTTCAAGCTCAACAACAAGAATATGCACTTCAAATGCAAGCAGCAACAGCTGCGTATTATTATTATACTAATATACCATATCATATATTAAATAATACAATAATATCTCCTTCTTTAATTAATCCAAATGGTGCTCTTATTGATGATGTTTTTTCTCATACTCGAACGTCAAATAACAATAATAATATTTCAAATCCTCTTCGTTATTTTCCTATACGCAATAATCGTCAACAATCATCACATAGTAGTCAGTAATATAATATATTGATTACTAATTTTATTTTATTTTGTTTTCTTTTTTTTCTTTTTTTTTTTTTGTGTTTTTTTTAATTTATCAAACGAAGAAAGAAAAATTATTCATTTATATATACACTTATATACTAGCATATTTGTGTCTAAAATTTAACAAAAGTTTTCACTCATTATCTCGAGTGACTAATGGTGAAAGACAAACGTATAAAAGAAAAAGAAAGAAAAAAACGTTTGTTTTCTTTGATCTTATCTTGTTTTTTGTTTCTCGTATTAGTGTTATTTATGTTCTTCTTGTTATTCTCTGTGTTTTTTCCCTATTTTAATCATTAAGAAAGTAAGCTCTCTCATAGTTTGGCATTTATATATATACATACTACAGTTAAAATTTCGGGAAGAAAAGATCCGATTGTTATTTTGACTTGACAAAAATGCTCATTCTAAGTAAAACTATGGATTTTTTGTTTTTCTTTTTTAGATTTCAATTTGTTGTTTGGTTGAATGAGAATGTAAAATTCCATTGTTTATTGCTCAAAATGTATGTATATAGAAATAAAAAGATAGTATTTGGTTTATAAGATATCAAAGAAATCTATTGTAGAAGACTTAAGAGTTGTTTTTTATTATAAAATATTAAAGTTATTCAACCAAAAAGAAAGGCCACTATTTAGACTAAAAACTTAATAAAATCCTCGACTTACAAGAGAATCGCTTCAAGTGATTCAGAGCTTTTACACTGATATTTTTACTATAAGTAGTACGGAATGAGACAGGAAAAGGGCTCATAAGTTTTTCTTCGCGAATCACAAGCATTTTACTAGGTTTATTACTTATCACAAGAAATATACCGAAAAGTCAAAGTACAGAATTTCGATCTGAAATTTCGTCGATATATAGATCTATATGTGGGAAAAATTCCAGGTCGAAATTCTGTATTTTGATTTTTCAGGAAGGCTCCTGTAATAAGTAGTAAAACACGTGGAATTGTCATATCTAGGAAAGAAAGATCTATGACTTTTTATCGATTTATGTCTTTTCTAGTCTCACTTACAGGAAACTTCTTCAGATTTCAATGATTTTGTTCTCATACAGATCCTAAAAGGTATTAAGATTTGACTAAGCTATCGAATTTCTGTCTAGAGGACTCAGGTTTTCGGAAAACTCGTATTTTCGAATTTTAATCTGAAACTTTGTGCACATAGAATTCAATTAGATTAAATTTCATAAAAAAAAGTTTAGAAATTTTCCAAAAAGCCTCTTCAAGATATGAAGCTTTCAAAAAATGCATATTACACCTATGGCAATGGGTCCCTACATCTTGAAGTAACTTTGTTCAAAACTTTTAGTTTTCTTCATGGAAGCTAATCTAGTTGAGTCCTCTATATGCACAAGTTTTCATATCAAGATTTCGAAAATACGAGTTTTTCGAAAATCTAGGACCTCTAGAGACAAATTTCATAGCTTAGTCGAATCTCAATAGTTTTTATGGTTGTTATTGGAACACTATGTAGCATCTATAGGCAAAAAAAATTATGGAAATCGGAAGGGAGTATCTGAAGAGATTGTCGAATATGTTTTACTTATGAGACAAGTATTAGCATAAAAGCTCTAAATCATTTCGGATAGTTTCTTCGTTCATGTTTGAACAAGTCTTCTGACGAGGGAACTTTTCTAGGTGTCAAATCTCTTTTCGACCGAGGCATTGTTCATTTCATGAGTACTAGAATGATTTTGTTTTTCTGGACTTCGCTCTCGAGATATCGAAACTTGATTGGATTTTTCAACAAAAAGCTGTGATCACATGGAAAATCAACTTTCGACTTCAAATTTCTCAATGAGATTAGTTCATTCAGTAAGTTTTAGTTTTCCTAGTACTTCCTTAATAGGAATGTTGTTACTCATTAAAAAATTTTGAATATTCTACATCTAAAGGTAAGAGATACTAGAAAAGTTACCATTTGACCATTGAATTCATATCATTTAGAAATTCGATTTTTCATAAAACTGAAGGAGGGCTACAGCTTTTTGTTGAAAAATCCAGTAAAATTTCAATATTTCAAGAACACAAAGACCCGAAAAACAAAACCATTGTAGATTATTAATTGTATAATTCATAGAACGTAATTTTTATTACTTTTTTTGTTGTTTTAAAGAATATAATGGTTTCTGTGGTACGTGCTCAACAAGTCTTATTCAAAACCAAACGTTTTAATAGTATATCATGGATATGTCGTCGTACAACTTCAACAACCCCAACTCCAACAACAACTGAAGTAGCTCGTCAAGTTGGTCACGAAGTACCAGCCGATGCTGCTGCTGTAACTAAAAAACCTATTGCAGGTGCACCATATAAAACACTTTCAATTGGTGTACCAAAAGAAACTTTTTTAAATGAAAAACGTGTTGCTCTTACACCTGCTATTGTATCAACACTTGTTAAAAAAGGTTTTGATATTTATATTTGTTTCATTCATTTGAATTTAATTCTTGAAAAAAAAATTTGTTTTTTTTTTAATAGGATTTACGTTAAATGTCGAAGAAAATGCAGGTGCAGGTGCATCGTTTTATAATGAAGAATATCAAAATGCTGGAGCAAAAATTGTTTCACGAAATGCTGCATATGCATCAAATATAATTCTTAAAGTTCGACAACCAAATGATGAAGTTTGTTTTACAAAAAAAAAAATTGTTAATTTTCAAAAAAGAAATTTCTCTTTCTTCTCTTTAAGGATATTAGTGTATTTCAAGATAAATCAACATTAATTTCATTTATATATCCAGTACAAAATAAAGCTTTAGTTGAACAACTTGCTAAAAAACAAGCAACTGTTTTTGCTATGGGTACAAAGCTTCAAATATATGTTTATTTTATTTGAAAATTTATTTATTTAGATTGTATTCCACGTATTTCTCGAGCACAAGTATATTGGTTTTGTTTTGAAATGAATTCTAAATAAATTTTTATGTAATTTTCAATAAAAGGTATTTGATGCACTTAGTTCAATGGCAAATATTGCTGGATATAAAGCTGTAATTGAAGCAGCTAATAATTTTGGCAGATTTTTTACTGGTATAAAAAAAAAGAAAATTTAATTCTCTTCAAATTGTTTTATTTTTATTAATTTAGGTCAAATAACTGCTGCTGGCAAATCTCCACCCGCAAAAATTTTAGTCATTGGTGGTGGTGTTGCTGGTCTTAGTGCAATTGGAACAGCCCGAAATATGGTATTGAAATACATATTTTTTTTTTATTGTTTTCTTTTAATGCTATTAAACAGTTAGTTATTATGCTCATAATAGAAAATAATACGTATGTATTATTAGATACAAATGCTTAAAATTTTGCAATAGTTGAAATTTTGTTTATGGTTTACTTTTGTATTATTTATAACTTTCTTCATCCTCATACAGAGTATTAGTCCATTGGAGTTCTAATTTGTTTTGTCAGTCAAAGTTTGTAGGTGGGGATTTCAATTGTGATCAATGTTTTTTCTTGTTGTAGCTATGATTTGATTCACTTATTAGTATAGTAGTTCATAAGAGTCCATAAATTGGAATTTTGATATTGTTTGAGAACTGTGATAGTTACCGATGAGCTAAAAATTAACTTCTATAATTTTCCAGTTGCATGTTATCAGATAGTCTGAATGATACATTCATTACACTAATGTTCTCATTCACATTGTTCGCTTATC